CTTTCTATTCCACCACGATAGAAACGTATATCTCTTTCCAAATCCCCACGAAAACACCCCATGGCCCACCTATTTTTCTCAGTCTCTGTAATGATTGAAAATTCTTTGGGATTTATTCCATGTTCGATGGCATATTGGTGTAAGCCTGCCTCTGGCTGATAAAGGCGGGTTTTGTTTGGCACGCTTACTTGAATTTCTGGTAAGCTCTGTATAGCGATTATAACTTTCTTTTGATCGATACGAAAAGGGCAATTAAGAAAATAGTGATCATCTTTACCGAGACAGCTCCAATCGCCCCATATACCTCGATCTGTATGTACCTCTTTGCATACAGGGCATTTAGCTTCTGAATCGGTATATTTAAATACATCTCGATGCCATGCATTCGAATTAGTGTAAGACAAGAAAGGGAAACGTTTATGTACTGCTTCATGGATTATACTTTTTTCATCCGGAAACTTAGAAATCTTGGTAATACAGTCATGACTCATATAATTACCAGTATCCTTTTTGATTTGAGAGGATTCGGAGTTTATCCAAGGGTCGAGTCCAGTTTTTTTCTTATATCTTTTATATAATGTGGAGCGAATTTTATCTGTCAAAATGCTTGGTAAACTAGTTAATTTAGCATGCCACTCCAAATATTCAGGAGTTAATGTTTTATCGGTCTTGGTTTGTGTATTCATCATGTTGACATTTTATGAATGTACATCTTTTTAAATTAACAATAGCTGACAAAAATAGTTAGAAGACATATTATCATTTATATAAATGTAGGTTTCCGCATAAAAAATATCTGTCGAAGAAAGTACACTTCGTATATTAAATATGTTTCGATTAATATAGATCCGATCTTTATTGCATAATAATATATAGCTGGCAAGAAAATACAATAAACAAAGCTTATATAATTATTTCAGCATCAGCAGAGCTGGCATGGGCAATGTACTGGATCATATCAATTTCGGATGCTTCACACTTGATATAGTAGGATCCGGCCTCGTAATTGCCCTCTACACCTTCCCCATCCTCATGATTTAACTTGCATATTGGGCATAATGACTCAGAATTAATTCCATAATAATCGACACCTTCATTACTATATTCATAAAATATATCGGGATATTGCTCCAATGTTTTGTTGCGGAAATTAGCATGGGTGTGGACTGGATTATTTTGTTTTTCAGATAAGGTCTTCTTGGATTCTGGTAAATCCTCCTTGGGTTTAGAGATAGGTGGTACTTTCGAATCGGAAGAATTGGAGATTAGTGTTTTAGTTAGATCACTTACCTCTACATTAATCCGATCGTGACCAATGGTCACGGTTTTTGAAGTCACTTGATTTATAACATATTGAATTTGAGCATTTGTTAATCCTGAAATAGTACGAGCGCTATATGAAATCTGTTTAATTTTAGCTACACCTACTCCTCCTTCTCCAAACAGTGTAAGAATTTTTCGAGCTCTTTGAGTTTTTTTACGTAGATTTGCATCAGTAATGGTAGGTAGAAAAGGTTTCATTTCTTTATATATTTGTGATCTGGCAGTTTTATCTTTGATCTTACCATCTCCCGTAAGACTTTTAACCTTATTTTCGAACTCAAGAGAATAATAATACCAGCACAAAATTTGTTTTTGACCCGATTTAATTGCTTTATCAAATAAGTCAGATAAACTTTGTGCAGAACCCGGAATCATATCCTGTATACAAGATTTACTAATTTCAGTAAAATCTATCTTAGCGTTATTTGAAGATGGGTTAATTCCGGAAGAAACAATATTTTGTGCTTGATTATATGTCATCTCTTGTATTAAACCTTCTACGATTTGATCATCTGATTCAAGTATTTCAGAGGTAGTGTCAGTTTGATTAACTAAAGATAAGTCTGCATTTTGATCCCGAAGTTTCTTCTCCCTAATGCTCTGAATTATCTCTTTACTAACCTGTTTCCTATATGTTGAATCCAGAAATTCATTTTCTTCTTTCTCTTCCAATGATATAGTTTCCGTGGGAATAGGAGATGTGGAAGTCTCTAATTCCTGTTGTATATCAGAATTGCCGGAAGCAGATACTATTTCGAGAGAAATGACACTTTGTGTCTCGTGGCTAGATACGACAGATTTCCCATTATGTGTGACAATTTGTTCATGAACGTCGTTAGAATTTGAAGCGTTAACAGATATATTGGATGCAAGAGCATTATCAGTTATATCGGATATAGGAGCATCATTAGAAATTTCCATTTCGGAAGAGTTAATATTAACCGGAGATTGTGAAACATTAGCAATACTTTTTTCTCCTTGCTCTAGCTTCGTGATTCTGGCTTCATGGCTTTCTAAAGATTGTCTTAATTCTGCATTCTCACGCTTAACTTTAGCATTCTCCTTTCTAAGTTCTGTATTCTCCGCCTGAAGCTTGGAATTCAATTCCTCTAATAATTTAATTTTGGATTGCGTATTTGCCATTTTTATATAAAATACAAATATGTTTAATTATATTAGTGAATAAAAAAA